TAATTTATCTTTTGGCTTGGTTGAAATTTTCTATGTGTGACTGATTTCTATTTTATTAATTTCTGCTCTTATAGTAATTCCTTCCTTCCCTTGTCCTTGAGTTTATTTTGCTGTGCTCTAATTCCTTAAAATGTAAGCTGATTTTTCCACCCCTTTTTATTTTCTAAATTTTACATCACAGAGCTATAAATTTCTGAACCCTGTGGTTATATCAATTCATTAAGTTCACACTATTTTCTCAGATTCATTACCTTCATCTAGGAACATTTTCTGATTTCTGTTACAGTTACTTTCTTAGGCCACACATTACTCAAAAATGTATAGCTTAATCTCTTAAACACATGTAGATTTTGTTACTTTTCTGTTATTGATTCCTATTTTAATTCCATTGGAATCCTAAAGTATAATCTATGACTCGAAACATAAACTCATTGAGAGCTAGGGTGTCGATGCCTTGAAAACAAACTAAGTTAAGGCATCTGTACGCTTTTTTTTTTTTTTGGTACGGGGAATTGAACTCGGGACCTTGCGCTTGTGAGACAGGCGGCGGAACCACCGGGTTAAATAAATCCCCGGCCTTCAGCAGACATGTTGAAATGGCTGGATTTCTACAGGAAAAAAAGGAATTTGACCTTTACCATGCCATACACAAAAACTAATATGAAGTGGATCATAGACTGAAAGGTAAAAAGTTAAAACCATAAAGTTTTTCGATAAAGTACAGGAAAATAATCTTTGTGTTGGTGGTAAGCAAAGCTTTCTTAGGACCCAGAATTCTCAGGGGGGAAATTAGAACAGTTACTGCCTCAGTGTAGAGGGTTAGAGTGAGAGACAGTGGTGGATTCTGTTGCACAAAAACTACGAAAGGTAAGCCAAAAGTTACCTTAAAGGCAATCTCTTGTATCTTCAAAGAAGTTTAGGTTACACAGGTGCACACATTTGTGAAAACTCAGCAAATATTACACAATTTTCCGTTTTCTGTGAAATTTACCTCACTAGAAAAAAAACGTAAACAAGTATTAACTCCAGTTAATGACATGTATGCTAAGGTATAACGGAAAGTGTACTGATATATGCAGCATACTTGGAAATGCACTGAAAAATAAGACGAACAACAGCATAGAAGAAATAGAGGTGTGCGCTCCCACACCTGGCGGGAAAAGGAGAATGAAAATAAAACACTAATGGTGGAATCCACGTGTAAGTATGTGGGCTGTTCACTATCGAAAACTTCAAGGGGAACTTTTAAGTTTTCTCGTGTCTTTGGATAATACAGGTGAGCAATCTTGCCTTAAATTTAACCATTAAGAAATTCAGCATTCAGCAATTTGTATCTGATTTACAGCAGATTTATTATGCTGATTGGAAGAAAGAGAAGTTAAACAAAAGTTTACAAACGCAGTGTTATATATGGTGGGTGTGTAGTAGTTCTTCAGAAAACGACGGTCGCATTGGACATGAACCTTGTGACTTCCCCAGGCTTTCTGAACCACCCAGTCCCATCTGGCAAGAGTTTTTCTCTTTCCGAGTTTCTTTCTACAACTTGGGGACACTTCATTTTCAGCATCAATGAAAAAGAAACTATGCTTCATTGCACATCAGAGTAACCAATGGTGAAAAAAGTTATCATTTAATAAAACTGGAAACTATCTCCATAATTATACGGTTATGGGAAATCCTCATAATGTTCAGAGGCTGTGACAATTTAAGCAAAATAGAGGAAAACATTAACTAACTTCTCTAGACCGTCAACATGGCTTGGATTTGGTCCCAGTTTTGAGTGAAGACTAGCCAAACCAATTCATCCAGTGGAAACTTACAATAAAATACATAATTATTAATATTTATTACACTCCCAACATAGCAGCTAAGAAAAAAGGGCAGCATTAACAAGTACTTCTGTAGGTCACACAGACATCTCCAAAGCAGGTTTCAGGTTCGAGGAAACAAACCAGGGCATAACTGACAACAGTACAAAGTCAAGGGAGCTCCAAGAGCAAGGACGTCAGGCATTTTCCATCTTTTGTTTAAAAGCAGACTCAGGAATCATTTGCCCAATAAGATTTAAGTAGTCCCTAAGTAAATCAACAGCTAATTGTGTCTACCACTGACAAAAGCTGTGGTAAGTGAAATGGACACACCATAGAATAATATAAATTCCTAAAAAAGGAACAGGGAAGGGCAATGTTTCTATAGCTCCTGAAGAAAGCAAATCAATCATTTTTAATCACAAAGAAAACACTGAGGCCAGATAGTTCAATAATACAGAAAAGAAAAATAAGCCTGCTCCCCTCTTCATTTTATGAATTTAATAAAATCTTAAAGTCAAATCCAAACAAAATCAATATAAAGGAAATTATAGATCAATCTCAATCTTGATAATATAAAATGTACCAAATCAAATATTGCCAAACTGAATATGATTAAAAGCGTTGTCTCACGAACACGTGCTTGGTTTACCATGAGAAAAATTATTAACTCAATAAAGACTGAAGGAGACAATACATGATTATCTACATAATACAATAAAAGCATTAAATAAGATTTAACAATTCATGATCTAAGTACTAGGCAAGTCAGAAATGGAACATTCTGCACTATGGAGAGTCTACAGGAAACCTGTGGAAAATACCGTACTATGATGTGAAACATTAAAGAACACACACTCCACAAACATACGAGAAACACAATGGCATTATTTTATTATTTACCTCAACTGTCTTCATAGGGAAAAAACACATACATTTATAGACTAGTAGATTTTAAAACAGTATAGAAAGTTTTCTCCTTGGTAGGTCACTTATACAAATGCCTGCATTTGTACACACCAGTAATAATTTCAGAAAAGGAATAATTTTTTTAAAGTTACCATCTGTAAGAATTTAATTAACAAATACAGTTATCTTAAAAATCCCATCAAGTCTTTCCAAAGAACTCAAAAAGCTGGTTTTAGGTTAGTAAAGGAAAGAAGTGGCCAAGAACCGCCATGGAACTGCTGTACAAGAAACTGTTGGGTGAGTAGAGGCCTGGGAAACTTCACTTATTAGAGAATAAATATACAAAGTTAAGGGCCCGAGATCTGGCTCAGGGGCACTGCGCCTGCCGCACAAGCACAAAGGCCTGAGTTTGATTCCCAGTACCAGGAAAAAAAATAAATAGAATAAATATATATATATATATATATATATATATATATATATATATATATATATATATATATATATATATATATATATATATATATATATATATATATATATATATATATATATATATATATATATATATATATATATATATATATATATATATATATATATATATATATGAAGGTGTAAACGTGATAGCAGAATAAAGAGTTCTGAAAGGGACCCACACAGATGAAAAAACCCGACAGACCACCAAGGTCGCATCGCAGCTCAATGGGGAAATGATGAATTATTCAAAAAACTCTACCTCTACCTCTGTCTAGCACCACACCCAAAACTCACGATGAATCAAGAATTCAAATGTGAAAATCAATACATTTAATCTCCTAAAAGAAAATACATGAAAGTATGTTAGTATCCTCAGAGATGGGAAGAATTTCTAAAAAGGAACACATTGAAAAAATGCTAACCATGGACAAAAGTTTAAGTGTTAAAATGTTTGTTCACTGAACGATACCACCAGGAGGCTCAAACGACAAGCCAAAAACTGACAGAAAATATTTGCAAGATATGTAGTTAACATTAATATCTGGGTATTATATAAAAAAATCAATTAGAAAAAGAGAACCCAATAGAAAAATGGATAAAGAGGGTAGGGGCAAGGAAATAAGGGAAAAAATATGAGAAAATGAAAAAATGGAAATAAAGAGTTTGTTAATGGGGAGGGGAGGAGGGGGTGAAGGGAGGGCAGGGACAAGGGGAAAAAATGAGAACCAAGACCTGTCATGTAAAGGTACAGGATCCCAGTAATGAATGTAACTGTATTGTAGACCTAGATTGTACCAATAAACTCAATAAAAAGAAAAAAAAAAAAGAAAAATGGATAAAGGAAAAGAAGGCATTTTATGTAACAGGCAAAATAGAAGGCTTGTAAGCAAATGGAAAGACACTCAACCTCTTTGATAATTTGGGAAATAGAAATTAAAGGGGTGAGGTAGCCAAGCACTGGCCAGGACATGGAACAAGAGGAATTCTCATCCCACGTTGGCATGGCGGGAGCACAGATCAGCTATGGCTACTCTGGAAAACATTTTGGCATTGGCAGAGATAACTACATGCACCCTCCAAACACCCAGCAGCCTCACAGTTAGGAACATAGTCCGCAAAAACTCCCCATATGAGATAGACAAGACGACATTCTCTTACCCATTGGAATCAAAATCATCAATTAACTCTGAAGTGTATGATTAAAGACCATACTGCTTCCAACATTAATATTTACAGAGCACATAGATATTCTTTCCATGGACTTCTGACTCATTAATTGCCAAATTCACTAATAAATATCAGTCTTCTCCTTTTGTAAACAGAGATTAAACACATCTGACGGGTCAGTTTTGAATGAAGCATGAACAGCTCTTTGTTCGTATATTTTCATCACCAAAGACTACATCAAGTATTTGTAAGACGAAAGCCTTCCTGAAGATTATGTCAATTTAATCAGGATTAAAAGGAAAGAAAACTTTTACCCTTTTCATCTTTGAATGAAGTAACTTGAGTTTTAATATCTTAATCAGAAAACATACAGAAGGAAACAAAATCAGAGAGCGTGATGTCCCGTGGTCTTCCTCAATAACAGCCCATTTTCAAGAGACCATAATCTGCTCAACAGCCAGCCTCGTCTCAAGGATCTTAATCAGTCTGAGGAAACTCACGCTAGAAATAAACAATGTGCCATTCAAACCAAAACAATGTAGGTATTAGCAGCCATTCAAGAAGTCAGCCTCTATTGAACAAGTCCCTTCTAAAATGCTGAAAGGCCAAGCCTTTGAAGTGCTTTCTATTCAAGCTGAAATATATATAAAGGGCTGGAGTCATCTAGCAAGCAAGTGGCCTGCGGAAGTCTTCCTCAGTTCACACACACTTGTCTGGCTTGACGCGTAGACAGGGAACCAAGCATGGCAAAGCTGAATCTCTCTTCCTACATGTTAATACTAACTTTTTCTCTGTTTTCTCAAGGTTTTTTGCTTTCAGCTTCCAAGTCCATAAGGAGCTTAGAGGACGACGTGGTGTTGAACACACTTAGGATGGGGAAGGCCTTTCAGAAGGAAGATGCTGCGGAACGATCGGTCGTTGCCCCTTCTCTGGAACAATATAAAAACGACGAGAGTGGTTTCGTGAATGATGAGGACAACAAAAATTCAAAGGTGAGTGGCAGCACGACTTGTCCTTGACTGCAGTGGAAATGATGTTTGTAAATCCTCTAAGAGTGAGACTGGTACTTGTGTTTATTTTGTAAATAAGAGTGCATACAAAGTCGTATGCATCAGGAAGACGGATGGGATTCCACACGTCCCAGATAGTCCCCCCACCGTGCAGAACGCTTCTGACCCAAAGGCATTTTATTTGCAATCAACTTTCATCTAAGGTAACTTTAAAGTCCGAAGCAGAAGAGAGTGAGTCTAAGCCGGTCTCGCAGACAAGGAGTCTCACGCTGTGTTACAGCTCCGTCCAAGGGAGACCACTAAGACGCGCGTCAACTTTCTCTTTACAGAACACGGGCTCCAAACACAATTTCATAAACCACGGTCTGCCACTGAACCTGGCTCTCAAGCCTTATCTTGCACTGAAAGGATCCGTAGCTTTTCCGGCTGAGAATGGAGTGCAGAACATTGAATCAACACAAGAGAAGAGAGAAATTGGGGATGAAGAAAACTCAGCTAAATTTCCGATAGGAAGGAGAGATTTTGACAGTGAGTAACCTTTTAAAACCTCATTTCTTGTATCGCGATACCATATGAGAGCTCAAGTTTAAATGAGTTTGGATATAATCCTAACAAAGTCAAGTAAGACCATGGTTCACTTCTAGTTGATATGTGTGACTCCTGTCAAACACATGGGAGGGCGAAGCATCTAGTTATTGTAACTTCGGTTACTCAGTACTTAAGAGCCACTTTTTCCCTTAACTTTGCATGGTAATTATAATCCTTTCAATGATTTGTCCTGTTTCCTCCAGTGCTCAGGTGTATGCTGGGCAGAGTCTACCGGCCTTGCTGGCAAGTCTGATGCCTGTCAGTGTGCATCGTCTTCTCAGAAGAAAGCAGAATCACTTCATGGCCCATGGGGAAAACAGCCCTGCGTGTTACTGTAATTTGTGTTATTATTTCAAACATCTCCCTTAAAAGAAAACTGTTAAATGTACTCGTAATCTAAATGATGGGCTTTTTCTGTGCATTAAACTTCGAAAATTCTGCATCATGATGACTAAGTGGTATTTGTGGACGACACACATCACAGCAAAGGAATAAAGTATCACGGTCACACCCTGATCTTTGAAAAGCACACAGTTTTGGTGAACGGTTTCATAAATGTGTCCATCTAAAGCACATAAATGACAAAATCACAGCACAAAAAACTGAGTTAACTTTGTCTGGCCAGTAAGCAACTTGGTTTTGGCAGCGCACTTGCTGCCGGCTGCCGCTCCGGCCAGTCTGCCACCCAGCTTCTTTTGCAAATCGTTTGATATTTTCGGTATCTTAACATTTTTATGTTGAGGTGGTTCGTTTCCATTATCACAGAGAATATTTTCACCATCCAAATCCATCTGTTTCCTTTTTGAGCTTTTATTTCCTGTCTGACTCTTTGATATTCTTGATACTTTGTCATTTTTACTTCTGTCCAGATGAACATTTCCAGAACGTATTCCAACTGTTGATTTTCCAACGGACGAATCTACACTCTCTGTTATGCAAGATAAAGAGGGGAAGGAATCATATTTATAGCTAGTATTGTTCCTCATGAGAATTTTATTTTATTTATTAATTTTTTTTTTTTTTTTGGTACAGGGGATCGAACTCAGGACCTTACGCTTGTGAGGCAGGTGGCAGAATCACTGAGCTAAATCCCCGGCCCTCTCATGAGACTTTTAAAACATTAGAAGAGAGAAAAAGGGAGCAAAAATGATCATATGATATATATGTACCAATTCCTCAAAATGAGTGTAAATTTTATGTATTGCAAACATACACCAAATAAAAAGGCTAAATACTCAAAAATCTATGATTTGTAATAAAATGCTAACTAGTTAAATGATTAACACGTAGTTACATTATCACATTAGTTTTCATTTACCATATTACCTCTCGCTCTTACCAATGAATATTTGCTTTAATATAGAATATTAATCATTATATAAATGCTATGAATTATTTTTTCGATCCACTTAGCTAAATCAAACTGTCTCTGATTCCTATCCGTAAGTTTGTACTTAGATTTAACATTTTAAACAAACCCAGTCCTTAAAAAATACAAGACTTTGCATTTGCTAGTACTTTGCAAAAATAATCTAGTTTTATTTAAGCTCAAATCAGATGGCAGACTAGAAGGGCGATTACCAGAAAGGTCGTTTCTCAAGTGCAGAACACGCGGAGGCTCTGATTCCGAGTCAGTGTCATTCCATTTATCCTTGCTTATCATGCAGTCATCTTTATACGTGCAAGAAAACTGGGATCTAATTAAGGTTTGCTTCATCTGATAACAGAAAGAGAGACACACAATTTATACTTTATTTTTTTCCCTTTTACACTCTAAAGGGATCAAAGTATCATCAAAAAGTTCCCTTACAAACCCCACTTTGCTAAGAACCAAGACACAGCATGCGAAGGTCCCAGTGATGAAGGTCACTGTGCTGTGCACCTAAAGAGCACCGACAGCTCAACGAGGAAAAATCCCACTGTGCACCGAGAACTGCTCCCCTTTTACATTCTATGGCTCACAAACCCATCCACTGCTATGGGCAGCGTTTCTGTTGTTTTCAACAGTATCAGTTCTCTGTATATTTCTGATATATTTCGTAACAGCTATAAAACATGAACGTTAGACTCTTCAAGGACTATCGTTATTCACTTCTGTGTATGGGCTGCTTTGGGAGTTGGTCTTATTATAAGAGAAACCATAACACACATGATAGATCCAACCATGGAAAAATACAAGTTCTTCATTACCACAGAAATACACACAGCACAACTCTTTCGGGTTGGGGGGGGAACAGCACAGCAATTCAAGAAATATATCAAAATAAACAGAAACAAAACTAGCAAAGAAACAAATAGCAAGAGAAAACAGTATTGAGAAGATATTATTTCTTGGTTAAAACTTGAATATTTAGAAAAGAAGAAAGATAATTCAAATCCATCATTTTAGGAAGATTCCACCAAGTGTTTTAATGGTTAAAAAAGAAAATCAAAATATACGCTTGCATTTAACTTTTCATGTACAGTAGGAAGCCTAATGTTCTTCTTAAACAGAACAACACCAAAAAGGTGAAGCTAAAAATTTTAAGAACTAAGAATTTGCCAGGCATGATGGCACATGTCTATAATTCCAGAACTCGGGAGGCTGAGGCAGGAGGATCACAACTTCAAGGGCAGCTTGGGCTATACAGTGAGTTCAAGGTCAGCCTGAAGTACACAGTAAGACCCTGTCTCAAAACATTAAAAAAAAAAAAAGGCAGATTTAAGAATGAAAAAGAAAAGCAAAAAAATGGGCTGGGGATTTAGCTCAATGGTTCTGCTACCTGCCTCGCAAGCACAAGGACCTGAATTCGATATCGATTCCCAAACAAAAAAAAAAAAAAAAAAAAGAATATATTAGGCAAACGTAATAACCACTGAGTTGCTTTATGGGTGGAATTAATTCCAGAATGAAATAGCCTACACAGATAATGCAAATTTCAATAGTTACACTGCTCTGTAACCATTCAGTTATCCTCGGGAGATTTCTCCAGCTGGTTAGAAGTCACTTCGGATCCACCACACCGAGTATTACTTGGAGTATTTTTTTGTTGACAAAACAGTAGTGACTCTTCTTACTCTGTTCGGTAATTGCATGTTAGGTTATAAGCACCCACTCCAGTGTTTGCAAAGAAAATGCCAGCGAGATCCCCGACTCGAGTTCTAAGGGAACAGAACCGCGCCTCGCACGGCTGGGTCTTGAAAGCAGGTTTGGACAGGGTGACGCATTTTACCTCACCGCTGGGTCTGCGGGAGGAGGATGAAACTGTGCCCCATGCGCTTCAGTGAAGCACCAGACAACCGGAGGTGGTTGTTTTCTTCCACCTGACCACAAAAGTGCGCAAAGCTGCATAAAAGTACAAAAGTGTGCAAGATCAAAAAGTACTTTTTGGAAAGCCATGGAAGACAGCAGGCTGTTGTGAATGAGACTCAGCTCACTCCTGCCCTGTGGATCGCTGAGCACGATGCTGATGCATAATTTCTACCACAAGACTTCCTACGATACCACTGAGGCTTTTGGGTGGCCCCTTCCTTATCTGTACACACACAACTGGAGCAATTTATGAAGCTACTGAAAGAAGTTTTATTAATAAACTATGTGCGATCACATCGTATCATTGCTATAGCAACCTTATTTAGGAACCTTTATTTCCAACATGGACACTACCCACTCACATATTCTTTCAATTCGCCAGTAACTGCTAATGGAGAATTATAAACTTGCTGCTTATGAAGAATTACGAAGCGTATGGTAAGACCACACAGTCCGAGAGATGCTAGGTGCCCGGCTCAGATCCCTCCCGCAGTACCCAGGAGGGAGAGCACCTGCAGGTGAAGCACCCGCTACCCAACCTCCATCACTCCACCTGTGACGCACTCTCCGTAAGACAGACAGACAGCACTTCTACCACTTAGTACGGAGAACTCTTTTTCTCAACCTCACATCGAGCAGGAATGGTTTCTTTAGAAAGCTCTGTTACTTTTTATTAACCTTAATACAATCTAAGTGAAAGCCTCTGTTTTCCATACAGTCACAAAATAAGGGTCCCAGTTTCCCTTCCAGCTTGATTTCCTTACTCCAGGCCTCCTACAGAGAAACTCTACAACCCCTAATGACCACAGGACAGTTTCAGAAAACTAAAGTTACAAGGCAATGGATTGCTAGTGGCTGAGACATGGAAGAAAGATAACTAACAACTTTATTTACGATGAAAACAATACTATTTCTAAACATATCAAAATAAGAAAGACAATCATGATCCACAGTGATCTTGCAATAGCTATTTCCAAAAGAACTGGGGAGTTATATTCTTTTTTATATAACTGGGCAGTTATATTCTTTTTTAATAAAAGATTACAAATGTGTTTTCTTTCCTCTGCCCTGTACAAAAAAAGTTTTTTAATCAATTACTAACTTTGGAGTTCCAACTATGTGTACACAAGAGATAACGAGTGGTTCTTGTAGTTACAAAGACGTTCTATTTATAAGAGTTGCTGTTGCCACACAGCTGGAAGGAATAACAAATAAATTGTACAACAGAATCAAGATTGAAAAGATTTCAGAAGGCTGGAACCATAAGCAGAAAATAGTAAGATGGAAATGAATGAGAATAAACAAAGACCTATATTTAGGTTGAAAAATATCAATTACGGATGTACAGGATGAGGAGGACCGGGCTTTTAAAAGAGCCTACGAAAGGACCTGGAGATCTTGGTTGATGGTGAACTTAACTGAGGCCAACAGGGAAAATGTGCAGCTGACAAAGCAACACAGAAACACAAGAGGCTGTGATGGGAAAAGCATCAGATTTTCCTGAAAAGATCCAGCCTCTAGTATTGGCCCTGTGACTTATCTGGATAATCTTGGATAAACAACTGTATGTCTCATTTATCTACATATAAACGGAGAATTGACCTCAAAAAGCTATCAGAACCACATGTAGTGAAAAAATATGAACAGTCTATATAAATTCTAGAAGTCCTAAATAGACACTGGGTAGTTATGACAACAAATAGGAAGCCAGTATTCCTGTAAGACCCGTTGAATTAGAGCTCTCGGGACCAGGCCAATTCTAAAATGATTCTAAGGATGCAGCTCAAAAAATGAACTTATAATCAGCTTCTTCATTTCAGTTTTTTTAAAGAAAAACTGCAAGCTCCGTCAAGCTGTATTTACAACATAAAAGGGATTGCTTTTTCTTTGTCCAGAAAAGTTGAATTTTCCTGCACAAGATTAGTGGCTACATAGAATTGAGATTACTTCCTATTGCAAATCTTCCAAATCTCTTGGTGTATTTATTTTATTTGGAATCACAAATAGGCAAAACAATTCCCTCCTGAAAGTGCTTTTGAAGTACTAAACAACTAAGAATAATGTCCAGATTCATACACGGCTGTTAAGATCATTTTATGTTCAAGTCACAAGAGAAAAATGGATTGAAAGTTTTCCTTTGTAGAGTGATTTCCCCCCCTTTGGAAAGATTTCTATCCACAGTAAAATTGCAATGAACTTCAAACTTGCCAAGAATTAGAAAAGTCTTCTTGCCACAAGCTTTTTTAAAATTGAAGTTATTAGTAGGTTCCCAGTTTGAGGAAAATAGTACTTCACACAGGAAAGCCTGACTCCAGTTAAATTAAGATAAATGAGTCAAAACACTGAAAAGTCACAGACACCCTGAATTAGCTGTATTAATAAGAAAATGAAAACTCAGCCTCCACTACACCAATACATTAACAATTTTGAAAAAAGGCATAACTAAAAATAAGTGTTCTACGTTTATCTTTTCTTGCTTACACAATCACTGTTAGTTTGTGTCTAGAGGCCCCCCAAAGCCTCGTGTGGTCATAGGCGGCTTTTTCAGAGGTGGCTGAATCTGGAGTGTGCGACACTGGGATTAAGGGCGTGCGATTCCTAAACCAGTAACCAGTATGCTGGTTAGTTTGGCTCTGCCCTGACCCCAGCAGCCCGAGTGAAATACAAGGGGCAGGGAGACACTGCTACGTGAAGGCTCCCTGTTGCTTTGCTACCGTGTGGGAGCCCTGAACTGTTTCTCCTCTGCCACCCTGCCTTGGAGCCAGCCGATTATGGACAGAAACCTCTACGAATTGTGCGGCAGATAAACCTCTCCTCCTTTAACTTTGGGTGTCGGGTATTTTGTCTTAGCTACGAAAGAAACCACACACAGGGTGAGGCTTCCGGGAGGTACAGACCTGCTGTCGGGGAGGACATGAGCCCCTTTCCAGACTTTCTGCCTTGCTGCCGCTCCCTCAGCTCCAGCTCCCGCCATCTGGAGGTGGAAGGAGGGCTGAGTACCCCTCAAAGTGTGAAACGGAGCCAGCGGTGAGGGGGCAGAGTGGGCCAAGGCTGAGGGAGCAAACGCTTAAGTTGTTTAAGAACTGATTACAGCAAAGACATCTTGCCATTAATCCCCCTCCAAATACTCCTCCTGGCTTCGAACATACTTTATCATTCCTGCCACTTTCTAAAAATCCTTTCGTGAGTGTCTTTACAAGGTGGGATACAAAGCACGGAGAGTGCTGCTTGCTGTCAAGTGCCGTCTGACAGAGAGGCAGGCTCACACAACTGTGGTGCGACCTCAGCCACCTCACTCACCGGGTCTGGCACCGCGCTCTTCCCAAGGTCAAAATGACCACGACAGGTCAATGTTTGGAACTAATTTCGCGCACTGCGGCAGCCATGGCAGCACGACTAAAGACACTCAGGAAAGACCTTCTAGAGCGGCTGCAGAAAGCAGCGGGAGCGATGGGACAAGTGCGCCTGAGGCAAGGAGGAGGGCTTGGGCAGGGCGGCTAACGACAATGTGTATTTCACGGTGGGGAAGATGATTCAAGCATCTGCTGTAGTTCTGGATCACACCGTGTATGTTGTCGCACTTTGGCTGCATAGACGTGTGGAGGACCTTGTCGGTAAAAGCCAGGCCTTTTGTCTGTTTCCCGTACTGCAGTGCCCAGCACAGAGCCTGGCAGACAGGAAGCACCTAATACGTGTCGGGTGGACGAATTCACGGAAGTTCTAACAAGGACACGGAAGAAGCTAGGAGGGGAAAGAAAGCATGAGTGGGCAACCCGGGGGCAGGCAGCGATGAACAGAGTGGGCCACTCTGAGAGAAGCCGCCACAGGACACATCCTGGGGGCAGCCGTCGCCGCCTCCCGCCTCCTCCTCAGGCCCCGTGTCCTCTGGGCCTTTCACCCGAGAGCCTGTGAGACTTCCGCTGCCTCTGGCTTCAAAGTCTGGGGTTCTGCCACACTGTGCCCTTTGACACCTCACCTCACTTCCCACTGTGAGAGAGGAGCCGGCTGTGGGTTTGAGGCAGGCCCCACTTTCCCCAGGGGAGAGAAACAAGGAGCTCTTGTCTGCCACGCTGAGGCTGCCTACCTCCCACACGGCAAACAGAAGTAACTGCATGGAGGTCTCCTGAAGTTTCTCAAGATACCCAGGCTCTTTCTCTCTCTCCCTCAAAGTGAGTTCCCTTATCCTGGCCAACATCCCGTCTCAGCTCGAATCGGACTGGCAGATACCAGGGCGGCAAAGAGCCGACGATGGACTGTGCCTCTCACAGGGACTTCATCCTCCCCAGACTTTAGTTCATTTAAACTTTGCTTACAAGCTCTTCCTTGCCTTTGAGAAGTATTTCCCCAGTCTTATCCACTTTTTATTGTCCTGTGATTATGACAGAAATGGTGTTACCCCATGACCTGCTATCTCCTAGCTACAAACACAAGTCTCCAGCCTCAGGCACGACTTGGTCCAATCCCTTCCTTATCTGAGAGCAGTGCACTTTCTCCTCAGAGCATATTTTCTGCCCCTCATTCTCCGCAGTCTCGGGGATGGTGGGTGTAGAAGTAGAGTTCATCTGTGGTGACAGACAGGCAGTCTGCAGAAGTCCCTGTGCTGTGCACCCCTCTTGGAGCCTGTTACCTGTGAGGGCTTCTCCCCTGAAGTTGGTGACACAGTCTCCACTGTCTCAGGGTACGAGTTCCAGAGTTCAAGTCCCACATTCTGACCACGTTACAATTCAGAATCCAGTTGCTACTTCGGTTTCTTTAATGAGTAAGGGGTAGAGCACACATTCCGCTGATCGTTAGTTTTGAAAACACGCAGGACAATTCTCACAGCGTGGCTAACGCCTTAGAGCTGTAGCTGCTGACGAGGACTACGCGTCTAGACTACTGGACTAGAGCTGTTGGGCCACGCTGTGCCTCTTCTTTTTAAATACTTGAAGAAACACCTTACTAACTACTCCCAGGCACAAACGTCGCATGTGAGACAGGTGTATTAGCTTTCCATCTTTGTAAAACCTGAAAAAATCAACTCGGGAGAGACTGATTTGGTTCACACTTTCAGAGGTTCTCGTCCACGGTGGGCTGGCTCCGTTGCTTTTAGGCTCATGGTAAGACCGAAACATCGTGGCAGAAGGTGTGGCCGACAAGAGCGGCTCACCTGTGGGGACCCAGAAGCAGTGAGAGAACCTACGGGCAGACTTTCCCCTCCTGCTTTTGCCCCACTCGGGCCCTCAGCCTACTGGTTGGTGCCGCCCATTTTCAGGGCAGGTCTCGCACCTCTGCCCACTGTCTCACATGCCAATCAGCTCTGAAAATCCCTCACAGACGCACGGTGCGCTTCACTGACTTCCTAGGTTTTCTAGATCTCATCAACCTGACAACCAGGATTAAAAACGGGAAATCGTACTTCAAACTAAATGAAAATATAAGGTGCCACTCTAGTCAAAACCACGTGAAACGCTCTCCCCGTCTCAGTGTACCACTGACTATATTCTGCCCTTACGTCTTCAGACAGGGACAGATTTTAAATTCCACTGTACCACAGTTTGGCTGTGGCGTGTCCTCCAGAGGCCAAGTGTGAAAGGTCTGGTCCCCGTGCGGCGCTGTTGGCAGGAGGGGGAAACGATTTCACTCGCTGGCCAGGAGGTGCGTGGTTCTGCTCCGTCACACTCAGGGTCAGCAATCCAACACCACAGCCTAGGCCCAGAAGCAGATTGGAGCTTCGAAACAGACGTCTTCTCTTTACAACCTGACCGTCTCGGGCGTCTGGCCAGTGATGGAGAGCTAGTACACACAGTGTCTCCCAATTCCATTTAAAATAGTGGAAATGTATACAAGGAGGCCATGGTTCCCCCTTCATTCATTCATTCAACAAGTATTCATTCCACGTTTATAACAACAACTTCTTATTTCTTTCCGGTCTGGTGGATTGAACAGATTAGTCAGGACTGTATAGAAGGAAAGTTTCTGTATATGTTACTTGCTTTCCATTTCATTCTCATAGCAACACATGCAAAGGCTCCGTGAGTCATCCAGCTCAGCTTTCTGTATTCACTTCTTTTAAATAGAAAACAATGTTCATCATTTTCGTGACAGTACAATGAATTATACCTTTATTTTTTTCTCTTGCACAGACTGACTGATGCGTTCTCTCAGGGGTTTCATGGATGAATTACCCTCTTGTACAGGAGATCTATGCAAAAAAAAAAGGTAAAACTGCATCACTGTGGTCTGAATGTCTGTGTCCTCCAAACTTCCAGTGCACATCTACTCCGGGGCAAGCCATGGGGCCTCTGGCGGGTGCCTTTCCCTCACAGGAAGAGGCTGCCTAAGGCACCACCTAGGAGGCACGAGCTCCTTCCGCCTCTAAAACTGTGAGAAATAAACCTGTCTTTTCCAGATTATGCAACCTAAGGGATCACAGCCCACGGGAATCAAGACACCCAGAAACCTAAGTGGCTCTTAAACCAGTTCTCCACTCTCCTGCTCCAAAGCACAGGTACAGGACAAGAAACCTTTGGCTATGTTTATAATACTTTATAAAGTCGCCGAACTATTCTGGGAGTGCTAAAAATTCAAGATTTGCTTAACTAATTCATTCAGTAACTGAGTGTCTCCTGAACATGTACTCATTTGTGAGGACTATTCAAGATGTCGTGGTGGACACAAAGCTTTGCTCACTGGCCTGTGTTCGGGTATCGTGAGGACAAAGTCAGGAAATCAGACATCCACATAACTAAACTCCAAAACAGGCCGCTCCAGAAAAAGAAAAATGAAAAGTGGAAGTTTGAGAAGGCACAATGGAAGAGATTCCTGGAGTTCGGTCACACCACCCCGTATGCCTCAACAAATCGACCCTTTTCTTGTCTTCATTTAACCAGTGTTAGAAGCTCTGTGACTCAAGACCATCATCTAATAAAAGACAAGTCTATAGTAAGAAAAAAATAACTGACTTAAACTCATACACTTAATGTCCTTAATTTTACCGTTTTGGTGCAGGTCATTAAAATTTTACTCTACCACATACCGTCTGCACTACAATTAGAAATGCTAATACAGAACTGAACGGTAAACAACTGAAATGTGTTGGCCACATGACTAAGTACAGAAAAATTCCTTTGTAAAATAGATTAGGGATGAATTTTGTTTATACAAAGTCTACAAATACTTCAAGACAAGGATAGAATTCAATCTGTGAGAAAATTACAATCATCTTTGCTTCTACCTAACGGCAAATGTCATTAAACAGAAAAAAGATTCGTTTTCTTTATACCGTTTTCTGAAATTCTAGCACAAGCTGTAAGTAAAATACTGGTAAGAGAAATTTTCATTGTTATAAGAATATTTGGGCAGTGTGAGGCAGACTCATCGTGGAAAGCTACTGCCAGATGACAACCCTGAGGGACAGGTCACTATGAAGTCTCTCTAGAGAGGAGCGGACACGGAGGCACAGGGGAGCCCATGACGTGATCACAGATGAACAGGACGATTTTAGGCTTAAGATCAGCCTTCTGAGCAGGAGCTCCGGAAAGAAAACAGAGAGCATCGAATGGTAGGATAACTGAAAATTCTCTAGGATGTACTAACTGCCGTTTAAAATGGTTCTGATAAAATGGTTAATGTCCCTAAGAGTGAATCTTCATTTAAAAATAACAGCACACTATTAAAAGGCTGACTTCACCGTTGTTAGAACTGGAGAGTCCCTGCTGCAGACTGAAATGTGTGCACCCCTAAAACACCAGTGTTGAAGCCTTACCCTCAAATGTGACTGTTTTGGGGGCAGGACTTTTAGGAGATGATCCATTTGGCCTTACTGAGGTTACCATGGCAATGCCCTCATTTGATGAGAGAGGTGACCCTGGCAGGCGAAGGAAGGCAGGGCCACCTCTGTGTGCACACGTCAAGGAATCAGAGCAGCGGTGTGAGCAAGAAGCAGAGGTGCGAGCAAGAAGCAGAGGTGCTGATCACACCAGCACCCATCTGTCCCTACACCTTGGCCCCACATCTCCGGTCGCTGTAGCCAGACTTTCTATCGGAGCAGACGGGGATGGTGTCAAGTTGCCATCATTACCGGCATTAATTTAGCAAGTATTTGTTCTCATACTGGGAAGATGAACCAGTAAATGTCAATTCCCAGGTAAATTTGCTGTGTACATCCTCTCCTATAAGCACCATTTGGAGCAGAGAGGCCTCAGGCTTTGGAGAAAGAAATGCTCGTTACTTGTTCACTGAGCTATCCAGTTCTAAAGTGGGGACACTATTACAAGAAGGTGCTGCGAGAGCTACGATAATTTAAGTGAAAGCATTTAGCGAAGTTCTTGCTGCACTGAGAATAAATATTTTCTCAGAGCAAAAAGCAAAGAAAAAAACAACACTGAAACCCAAATACTCCTGAATATTATCTTTTCAATCCATAACCTCTTCTTTGCCTTTAATATTTAATCTCCCTTTAACTAGCTTTTGCTTACTTCATACTTTGCTGTAGTTTCCAAATTTCTGACCAGAAGCATGTATTTCTTTTATAATCAGTAAGCGTTTTCCTGAGACTTTGGTGTAACACCCACATCACTCACCGGAACAGTGTGAGGAGAGAAGGCCCATCGCGATGGCCTGTGTTCCCGTCGCTGTACAAAAGCTCTGCTTTGGCAGCTCTGCTTGGCACCCCGGCTGCTTCTTCGTCCAGAAGAACCAATAAGGTCTTCACAGTGTCTCTGCCACAGTAGGCAGTGCCATGGTTGATGGCATGAGATTTGGGCTAGAACAAAAAGTACCCCAAACTAAGGTAAATGTCATGCACTGAAAACACATACTGAAGGAAGAAAGGAAAAAACTAATTTTAAGGAAATGTAACACCCACCCCAGCTGCGTGAATCAGGTGGCTGGAAGGCATGGGATGCTTCTCCTGGAAGCCATCTCAGAGCCATCTTATCAATTTCAGGTGCACAAAAATGGTAACATCAAAAGACTATTTTCTGGTCATTCAAGAGAATCTAGGTGTTGCCTCACACACTAAAGGAAGATGAGGTTCAGGCAATCTGAACAGTAACGGCACAGACTGCTGCTAAGGTCTCATCTGATGTGGAAATGAAAAGCTGTTGACATCCGTTCTTTACATAGTCATTGATCAGTACGTCTATGTCTCAAGCATTATGTGTGAGCTACAGCTACAAAGGCAAAAAACCACTGCCTTGCGGAAACCCATGGGCTCCTCGATAAGACCACGGAGCAGCTCTACCATCTCCCTCGAGGACGCTCAGTGAGACTTCTCCAGTGTGGGGAGGGCACACAGGGAGTGGACAGAGTACCATGGCGTCCAGGACGGCCTCACAGAGGAGGAGCCTCACAGAGGCAGGACGGAGCACCCTCAGGAACCAGGGTGGGGAACACGAGAAAGGAGGAAGTTGGTCGGATGTGCTGGAAAAGCTCTGCGCACCATGCAAAGTTAGGAGCAGCTGGTGACAAAGCCAAAAACGCTTGCTTTCGTAGCAAGTCTGGACAATGACCCTATTTAGGTTTTAGAAAAATCACCAATAGCCAACACAAAGTGCATTTCAGTGTGAGAGCGCTATCAAATCTTAGAGACAGGGCCACAAATTAAAAGGTTATGAAAGAACAGGTCTGAACTAAGACAGCAGCACCAGAGATAAAGAAAGCAGATTAAAAAGGGAGAACTCAAAACACTCAGTGACTAGACAGGAAACAGAAGAAAACGTATGATACTATCACATTCCTCACAGACACACATAGGTGTAAATTCGGAGCCATTTCTAGCTAGGTCTAATAACAACTTAGGAACTGCATCGCTACACGAAACTCTGGGGAAGCTACACAAGGGAAACTCGCTGGCAGGCAGGGCTGGTGGACCCTGTGCCTGGGGGTCAAAGCGGCCTTTTCTGGGCCTTCTGGGCCACCGTGCCAGTTTCCTCAGCTGTCACACTGGTCTGGGCCTCCTTTCTCTTCCGGCCACCACACAAGCTCTAAGGCCCAGCTCCACGGGGCTCAACTGCCTCCCATAGTGCGGGGCGTGGTACTTTGCATCCATGCCAGAGAACTCCACGTTGCTGAACCCTAACTTCACTGAGTATTATCTAATTGTATTTTTCAAAGACACGTAATTTGGTGGAAAACATAAAATGAAGAACCAGGTTGTTTGCACTTTTCTTTTGTCAGAAAATGGGACAAATCGGTACCCCTATTAATTACCTGCAATTACAGCAGTTCCTCATTTTTAGTTATAACCTGGTTGTCGTCTGAGCCCAGCTCGTGTGTGTGGAATGTTCACACACATGATATAATGGAGTGCCATCCCGTAATTTCCCCCACGCTGGGATTTCACAGTAAGTCTAAAACTGTGTCATTATAAAAAATAGCTAAAAGTGGTCACTAAGAGGGAGGAAGTGATAAATGAATGAATAGCAAAGCTCAGGCAGACATCTCTTTCCCCACACTGCCTGCCGCCATGACGCCCAGCAAAAGGGGCACCTGTGGCTGACCACGTGACCACAGCACACCCCCAAAACTCTGTTCTGAAGCCAAAACACGGTGTCAGCCTACTGCATGCTACCCTACTGCATGCTACCACCTATTCTATTTGACTACATAAGAAAATGAAGAAAGAAAATGTTCTCGGAATATACAATGACAAGATTGCCAGCGTGGGGACACCAGACGGTGGTAGACGGGAATGGATGTAGAAAACAAGAGACCTCAGGGAGCTATAAAAGACAATAAACTGCCACACGGATACCATTTCTAACAAGACTGCTGCCGTCCTGCAGAGAGCTTAGTGCTGGGGTCAGGAACCAGGCTCCTACATCTGAATCGAGGGGGAAATAATTGTTCCATAGGAATAATTCCTGAAAAATACCACCGAATATCTTAATGCCCATCGAGAATTAAAAGTTTTTAGTGCTGAAAGGGATAAAGATATTACCCAACGACTCGCTTTCACATATACAAAGTTTGGCCCAAAGATGTTATGATTTACCCAAGTTGAACATAATCCTATTGAGAAAATTAAATTTCAACACCATCTCAGGACACAGGAAACAGATTATCAGACTTAAGTGGCAACGGCAAGCCATGGACATGATAAACAGAAGAGAGACGATGTTCTGTATAGAAGACAAGAAAGAAAGAGCTCATTACCCGCGCAGGGCTGATGTCAGCGGTGCTGAGAGCTCTGTCCTCTTGTTGAGAATTGACAATATTTTTAATCCTCAAATCCAAATCCTGAGCAACTTCCTCCACTGCTTTGCAAAAGGACTCCCTGCTGCTTTGGCCTTTAATCAGCTGCATCTTTATTGCCGACAGTATCCGACCCCCTGCAATGCTGCAAATAGAAGTAAGATGGCCTTTATAACAGCACAGCAAACGGCATGGAGTATAGGCTGGAAAATCTAAATCTCAGCATTAATCAACACCTTTCAAACAATGTAGCTTTGATCTCACAAATCAAACAGTGAAACATGGAAGAAAAAGATGAGGACCGCTAAAAACAAACTTAAAAGTTTTTCAAAAAGCCAGTCATTTCAACAAGTTCATACTTTATTTCTAAGCTGAATGGAAATGACTTAGTTACATATGAACTGTTAACAGGTCAGGTCCAGGCACATTCGTGCATAAAATCTACCTTTGGATACCACCGAGATAGTGAAAATACCTCTCTCACATTGAATACCTGGAATCTTTTTTTTTTTGGTACCGGGGAATCAAACTCAGGTCCTTGCGCTTGCGAGGCAGGCAGCGGAACCACTGAGCTAAATCCCTGGCCCAAAAATTATTTTAGAAGCTTTTGTTTTGGGGGTTGTACCGGTGATCGAGCTCAGGACCTTGAGCTTACGAGGCAGGCGGTGGAACAACTGAGCTAAATCCCCGGCGAATACCTGGACTCTTGAAGCCAATTAAGTATCAGACGCCCCACATCACAGGTGAGAGAACTGAGTCTCATGAAGGTCAAGCAGCTGGGCTAAGAACAACACATGGTGCTCTGGGCGAGGGAGAAGGAGGGGGGGCGGAAACGGCCCTGAAACCCGTGAAGTAGCATCCTGACATGCGAAGGCAAAGTATACATGGAGGAGGAAGTTAAGCGAGCTAGAGCTAATCCACTCGCGGCGTCCAGCAACAGGAGAGGGTTCTGCAGCTCCGAGGTCGCCATCCCAGGTCCCAGAGAGCGGCCGGTCCCGCTGGCCCAGCACACGGCTCACCTTCCCCGAGCGGCTCCTTCCGGTGGGGCTCCGGGGTTTATCCGTGGGTTCACACCCTCTGCCGCACTGCCAGGCTCCGCGTGTGAGCACGGCCTCGGCCCGCACGGTGCGGAGAGCGATGCTCCCCGTGTGAACAGCAGGTCCGAGCAGCAGGACAGTTCCAGGAAACCTCCCGCGTGATGACGGTCACAGGGTCGGCCCCACGCTCCCAGCATCAGGATGGCATTCGGCTGTGTTCAAAATGCCCGTTCCTGCCCGACTGGACCAGTACCTCTGACAAGGCCCCTGGAGAGTCGCGCCGTATAAAAGTATCTCTGGCGAGCTCCCTAAAATCCCGTGCAAAAATTAGCACATTGACAAAAGCGAGTCACAGAATTCGCTCAGTGGCACCGCGCCTGCCTCAACAGCAGGCGAGGTTCTGAGTTCGATCCCCGGAACCAAAAAAAAAAGCAACCACGTTGAACACTCTTCAGCCACCGGTTCACACTCGGTGTACACAAGCACATGACTGACCACGTACGTATCTGCTGCACATCTGTGCACCTTTCAGAGTGAAGCTCTTCACAGGAAAGCAAAAGCTAGTGTATGAACACTGTTGTTCCTATTCGCCTCCCTGCACGGCTCACACGGACACGGTGCTGGTCTCAGTACTCCGGGGAAACTCCGCGCTGAGCGTGAGCGAGAGGGAGAAACCCACACCCTCCGGGGAAACGAGCGCGAGCTGGGGCGGGTGGCGGACGGGCCTCCCGGGGCCAGCACTGGGGCCGAACAAACACGCGAGCGGCCGGGTCGGGCTGCGGGACCCTCGGGGAGGCAGCTGCTTCGGCTTTTACCGGACCGGGCCTCTGCACCTCACACCCGCGCCGCTGTTTTTCTGACACTCTCCCTGCTCTGCGCTAACACGCAGACAACTGCTTTTTGTTTACTGGCCGTGCACCCAGCAGCGCTGTTGCACTCTGGGTAACTTTAATAGTTTGCTCCTAGGTTCTTGGAGTTTTCATGTGAGCATCATGATCAGTTGAGGTTTTTCCTTCCCTTTGAAATGTCTTATCTCATTCCTTTTTTTTGCTTTATTAATCTGAATGAGCCATGGAATACTCTGCTGAAAAAACATGACAAGAGAAACAATCTTACACTGAATGCTAAAACATCTTACTTTCATAAACTAGGTTTTCATGGAAACCCTTTCCAGCAAGTTACAGCCCTGATTCTCAGCTCATCTTTACACTGGGGGTCACCTCTGGGCCGTGGTTGTGTGGTTAAAGAGTTAGGCCATGAGGCCCCACCTCGGGCCTTCCCTGGGTTTTGTTCCCTCAGACTTTAGGGGCATATGAGAAGTTATCCACAAAAAACAAACAAACAAACAAACAAAAAGGCCGGGAATGGTGGTGCACACCTGTAATCCCAGCACTTGGGAGGCTGAGGCAGGAGGATCGCTCTGAGTTCGAGACCAGCCTGGGCTACACAGTGAGTTCCAGGTCACTCTCAACTACACAGTGAGACCCTGTCTCAAAACCCCCACCAAAAAAAAGAAAAGAAAAAGAAATTATCCGCCATTATTAGTTTTGTGGTGGGTAGGATCTCATTCTGTAACATAGGCTGGCCTCAAACTCCCAGTTACCCTCCTGCCTCAGCCTCACAAGTGCTGAGGTTATAGGTGTGCGCCACCACGCCCGGCTCTATTCCTGATAAACTTTAAAAGGAGAATGCAGGTAAGAAAGGCACCCTGGCAGCTAATACCTAACTGCATCACACCAGAGCCAGGGAAGAGGAAATGAAGCCCCAAACTCGGACCAAAAGAAACACCTGGAAGAGAATGCAAGGCACTGGTGCAGACAAATGACCGGAAACGTCTGTGTTATGGTTCATTCTTTATGACAGCAAGGGAAGGGCTCTTCCATACCATATTTAAGAACTTGACGACTATTTGTCGAAATGAACTTCATCTTTAAAATTTGAGTGTGATGACTTGAGTGTGATGAAAGGTACCATCATAAAGCATTTCAAAAATGATTCCAAAATGTTTTAAAAACAAAAAACGTTACCATCAGATTAGACTGGCAAATTTCAACCAGGTTTCTGCCTCTGTTTATTTTGTCCAACAGAAGACGCAGATCAGAAACTGATGCCACATTTTAAACTTCTGACCAGGGGCACTGATGCCGTGGACCGAGCGATGCAGGACAGGCGAGGGCGGAGCGCGCGTGCGCTTTCTGGCGGCACCTACTGGCAGAGCGAGGAAATACAGCCAGCCTGCCCTGAGCCCTGGAAAAGCTGCCACCAGGGGCTTTCTCTCTTCCCTCCTCATTATTCTCTGGACTCCAAATGCACTTCCGTCTCTAAACTTTAAGGTTTCGAGACAGAACTCACAAAGAGGCCAGAGTGAGGCCCGCAGGAGTGAGGCTGTGAACAATGTCACGCACTGGGCTGAGGTTCCCGGGCTGTAGTCTGTGCCTATGCGGAGTCACTGAAGTTTTAGCGCGGTTAACACAGGCTGTTTCCGACGGGGGAGCAGAACGCACCGGTCAGAGACGGCCGAGAAGTCCACAGGAGAGGACGAGAGAGCAGTGCCAGCCAGCGTGGAGCCTGGAAATGAGACAGTAGCTACAGGAACCAGACAAAGAGAAAGAATATGAAAAGTACTGAGGAGCTGAGGGCTCGGGGTGAGCCAGGGAAAGAGGAGGCTAGGATTCTCCCAGATCTCTGCGGGGAGAAGACTCGTCCCTGGAGGAGAGGATGGCGTCCGCAGGGCAGGATGAAGATTCGGTGGCGGGCACGCGAAGTCCGAATCCCTCTGAAGTACACCCTCAGAGCTAGTTGAAGATGCGTTTCTGAAACTCGGGAAGGGAATCTGGATCAGAACAATCGCACAGATGCAGGCAGCTCGGCAGACAATAAGAGAATGAGATCTCCGAAGTCACATGAAAAGCAAAGCTCCGAGACTGTGAGTGACCCATGTGATCATCAGCTGAGGGAGAACGTGAATATGAGTCCAGCACACACAGGTAGTAAACGCCGAGCGGCAGACGCGGGGCCAGGCCAGGGAGTGTTAGTGGAGAAAACCAACACGCCTCACCGATCCGACTGCCCGGGAAAAATACCCACTCAACAAACAGGGGAGAGGGAAAAGGCAGCGTTTTTTTATTATTCTTCAAGAATTTAAGCTATAAAAGGAAGGAGAAAGAACTAGAAAAAAAGCTTTTTCTTATAATCTTTATTATAAACAGTGACTTAGACTCCAAGTAGACAGAGGCTGAAATTATTAGACAAAATGAATTAACTGGAGGGCAGTGACCCAGTAGGCTGCCCTCACTCTCCCCGGATCTGGCTGACTGCTTCAAGCTCATCCTTGAAGATTAAGCTCAACTAAGACAGCACCCGGACAAGCAGGGCAGAAACCTTTCCCCGGCTTCCACAAACCAGGGCGCAGGTCCCTCCCTCTGTACGTCACGCCATGTCTCCTTGCGTAAGTAGGGGATATTTTAGTTTTCAAGCATTTCGTTTTTTCAATTAATAAAATGCCTACCGCAAAAATTCCAAACCACTGTAAGAAAGAAAAAGGATCGCTCAAGTCCACTACAGAGATGCGCCCACCTGGAGATACTACTTCTTCCGGGTCTTCCCAGAAGGTGGAGCAAGTAATTACTCATCAGGCCCAGACGAGGTACCGGGAATGAACGGCTTCTTACTTGAAAACATCTCCTCCTTCAAAGCTTCCCCCAAAATGCATCTCTTTCTATGCTTTCAATCATTTTCCCAACCAGAAACCCTTCCAGATTTATAACAAATTACACTGCATTGAATATATGCATTTATCTTGGCTCCTTCCCAAAACCTAACGCAAAAAACAAAATGGCAAAAAAAGAATTTTAACTTTATAAAGAAAGAACGGGAGAGGCAACAGCGGCTGATGAGCAGGGACATTTCCCCCAAGTAAGGAAAGTTGAGAGGGAGAGAGGCAGGGGTTGTGGCTCCTGGGCGCCCAGAACACAGAAAACTAAAGCCCAAGGGGCTGCAGAAAGGGACACGTGTCAGGACCTTCCAAAACTGAAAACAGCACTGAAGGCTGAGGTGACAGCCAGGCGGAGAGCAGGACACCAGTGTGTGTCCCAGCAGCCCTTCTCCCGGAGCCACACGCACACGCCTCAGCTGGGCATGCGAACCAGGGTCGCCATGGAGACACCAAGCAGGAAGTCAGTGCAAACTTCTGATTAAAACTCCACACACAGCCACCACGACTGACCCATCCTGAGCCCCAGAGCGTCACCAGCGAGACTGACAGCTTTCGGAGACAGAGGACACCTTTGTGAGCATTTTGGGGAAAGCCCCAAAGGAAAAAACCTCGTTAGTGACATCTGGGTAGGAAGTCGCCAGCAAAAGGGCCAACTGGCCGTGTTCATAATCAAGGCGGCTTGTCAACTTTACAGAGCCTCGTTCTTAAACATGAAAGGGCAATGCAGAACCACAGAAAGAGCAAACCAGTCTAACAAACTGAAACACAATCTAGACCAAACAGATGTCATCTAGGAAGCAGGTGTTTTTAAATTATCATTGAGAACCTTAGATCAAATATGACAGTAGAAAAAAGACATTTGTCTCTCACTTGCTTTTAATAAGAAGCCAAACTCAGAGGCTTAACAATTAAAAATAAGGCCCTGAAATTCAAGGTAGAAGCAAAGAAGAATTCATGAGGCAGTGGAGGAGCTTCAGAGTTCACAGCCCTGTCCGGCCAGGTCTGGAGCAAAGGCACAGAGGGAAGAGGAGAGGAAGCGCTCCAGGAGGGAAGGCTCCCGGCAGCGTGCAGACCAGTGGGTGGCCCCGCACTGACAAGAATGCTTAGTTTTATTGTGAGCTTGGTATCAAAATGATGAGCAATATATAAGAGGTAAAGCAAAAGGAAAAAGCCGATCATGATTCACTGTAGCAGAAAGAAAGGATAAGCGTGTCAATCGGCTCAGCCACCGGAAACATCAATAGTCACAATAACGTGGCTCGGAAGTGCGAGATAACCCCAAACACATCACTCATACGACAGGAAGGCGAAAGGGAAGTGTGTGTGAAGGTCGGGTGGGGACGGGACTGTCAGGAGCTCCTGGAGTGCACTGGAAACCCTCACATCACAGCAGACGCGAACACCACTGTCCAGAATTAAAAAGCCAAAACCAGCTGCAAACACTTTCATTTATAGGAAGTAGATACAGAAGCAAACACATGTTTAAAAATTAAGCCTTCCTATGAGGAAGACTTTTCAATTCTAAGATTAGGGTACATCTAAGACCAGGTACATCTGCAAGGTATTACAAAGGTATTTTAAATCACCTGTTATCTCCAAATAAATGGCCAGCCAGTTTGTTATGTGGGATCCGGCTGCTCACTTCAGCGGTACATATACTAAAACCGGAATTCAAACGATGCCGCAGATATTGACTACAAGTCATTTACAAGTCATTTTTCAAAACCCACTCACAAATGTACTTCTTTGTATCCGCGTAAGAACAGGATCCAGTTAAGAATAAAATCCTGACAAAATTAATCCTGGTCTTAGATCAGGAAGAAGCTTCGCAGAAGAAGGTAAGACTGGGTATCCAGGTCCCAGCTGCAGCTCCAGTAACAGTGCAACCAGGGGCAAATCATCAGGCCCATAGCTCTGACTCCTCCCTCCCCAGCCTGGGGCAGTCACAGTACCTCTCTTGGACGGTTGTTACGATATCACATGATAACCCAGGAGGAGAGCAAGCACAACTCAGTGTCCGACACCTAAGTGACATCGCCGGGAGCTATTTCTATTAGAACTACGCAGTAACAAATGAACCAGACAGTAACCCACCATCGTGACTGGCATACGCAGTACAGTCTGGCCCCCAAAGTTAATCAAAAAGTTACCATTCGAAACAGCTACAAGTAGAAGTCTGTAAGATTAAAAAAACTCTTATCGCCAATATATGTACAACAAAAACTACAGATGCTCCAAAGATTTACCCATAAGAAAATACTAACAGAAAATAGATATTTCTTCAGATCTTTTTCAATTTTCTTACTCATTCTTGGTTTGTTTCTTTTATATAAAAAGTTTAAAAGAGGGCTAAGGATTTAGCTCAGTGGCACCAAGGCTGCCTTGCAAGTACAAGGTCCTGAGTTCAATCCCTGGTACTAAAAGAAAAGTTTGAAACAATTATCTAGTCAGTAATTTCCTGTCCTCAAACATCTGTTTCTTCTGGATAAAGATAGGTGGTAAGGTTCTTTGCCAACCCAGGCTAGTTGGGACTCGCCCCCTGACTCTGGCAAATACCTTTGGATCACAGTGAGGCAGAAACTTAGGTGGGGAATCGTGCAATTAGAATCTGCCCACCCACATATTCTGTTTCTTCTCCCTGTTGTTTTACCTGATACGTGGTCATTTCAATGCCTCTTTCATTCTCGCCTCGGATTCTGTGACCCTCTCAAGACAGAACCATAACGCATTAGTCATTTGTGAAAAGTTATTACCTTGGGTTTGGTGTTTCTCCAAGAATCTCATGTAGTTTGTCGATGAAATTAATAAAACTAGATAACCCCTTTACATGTGTCCTTAAAGGGTCAGAGGGCGAGGGGGCGTAGCCTTTCCCTCCAAGCTCGATCGTTCTAATAAATGATGTGGCCACCTATGAATGAAAACATATGATTTCATGTTAACGGCCCCGGAAGTGAAAACTCCAGGTGCTCCAGGTAACACTTGGCTCACACTGGCTTGGAGTCTGGAGCAAAGGACCACAGAAGCAAGTGCCAGGCAGGCTCCGGCCAGCAAGGGAGACAGAGACCACGCGCCACAGGCCCACACTGGGGTGGTGAGGGGCAAGGGAGGCACTGAAGAAGAGGCCCGCATTCATCAGAACACACAACTGACCGCAAAGGACTTGCGTACAGGTATCTTCTTGTTTGGACTGCTGTTAGAATCAGTACTCAGTGTCAACTGATCTGTTAAATGGGTGCACTGGTGTGAACCGAATACTTTCACTCTTACTGTAAAATGCAGATTTAGACTAGATAATCACTAAGTTCCATTCGGGAACCAAGACTGTGGAATCACGTGGAGTTAAAAGGCCTCGTCTTTTCAGTCTTCATCAAAGACCCAATGTTCTAAAGCAGCATTTTCCAAAGTGTTATCCTGAGGCAGACTATGATATGTTAAGAATTTGGGGGAAACGTTCCATGATCAAAGAATGGAGCAAACAACCTTCAGTAGCAAGGTTAACTAACTTCTTGTAAGTTTTAAACAGATTGCTTTTTTCATTTATTTTTTATGGTCTCCAATTTCTTCACTTTTCCGCCGTTTACACAGATCAGTGGGTTTCACTTGGCAGATCTGCACATGCGCACAAAACACCTGGCTCATTCCCACACACCCATCCCCCACGCCGCTGCTCTGCGGGTTCAGTGCATGTATTTCGCTCATATCCATCCCCCACCGCATACTTACACGCCCTCCCTCCCTCTTATTCCCTTCTTGTCTAATAACTTTCCCTTCTACTTTCTTCTCATCTATTTTAGATTCCACATACTAAGGAAAACATGCAATACTTGTCTTTCTGAGTCTGACTTATTTCACTCAACATGATGGTCTCCAGATCCATTCATTTTCCTGAGAATGACAGAATTTCACGGTTTATGGCTGAATAATATTCCACTGTGTAGCTACAAAGAGTACATGTTCCTGATCCGGTCACCTGTTGATGGGCACAGAAGTTCCCTATGTTGGCCACTGTGAATTGTGCCACAATAAACAGATACTCGGCATGTCTATGGTATGCTGATTTCCTTTGGGTAAGGATCAAGGGGTAGTATACAGGTAGATCAATGAGCTCTATTTTTAGGTTTTTGAGGAACCTACATACAGATTTCCATAGTGGCTGTACTAATTTACATCCCACCAGCATGTAGAAAGTTTCCCTTTCCGCCTGCATCCTCACCCTTGCTAGTCTTTATTGTATTTTGTATTGTTTTTTTTTTTTTTGCACCGGGGATCTAACTTGGGACCTTGCGCTTGACAGGCAGGCAGCAGAACCACTAAGCTAAATCCCTGGCCCTGTATTTTGTATTCTTGATGACAACAAATCTGACTGGGGTAGATGAAATCTCAATATAGTTTTGATTTGCATTTTGCTAATGAGAAGTTGAACATTTTTTTTCATATACTCACTAGCCATATGAACTTCTTCTGAGACGTGTCTGTTCAGTTCACTGGCCTATTTACTAATTGTGCTATCTGATTTTTTTAGTTCTTTATATATTTTAAATATTAGTCCTCCATTGGAAGACAGTCCCTCTCTTCCTTCTTTTGTTTCTTTGCTGCACCAAAGCTTTTTAATTTGATGCAGTCCCATATGTTGGTTCTTCCTATTATTTCCCATGCGATCAGTGTCCTACTCAGGAAGTCTCTGCCGGTGCCTACGGCTTCAAGTGTTGCCCCTATATTTCCTTCTAGCCATTTCAAAGTTTCAAGTCACACACCTAGCTCTGTGATCGATTCTGAATTGATTTTTGTACCGGGTGAGTGACGGAGATCTAGTCCAAGTTTCTACAGGTGGATCTCCAGCTTTCCCAGCATCAGTTGTTGAAGAAAAGCTTTTCTTTTTGCCAGTATCTGTCTTTGGTTCCGTTCTCCAGAATCCAATGGCTGTAGTTGTGGGTCTGTTTCTGGGTCCTCTATTCTCTTCTACTGCTCTGTGTATCTATTTCTGTGCCATTCCCGTTTGGTTTTTGCCACCACAGCTTTGTAGTGTAATTTGAAATTGGGTATCGTGAAGGCTCCAGCCTTGATCTTTTTCACTCAGAATTGCTTTGGATAATCTGGATCCTTTGTTTTTCCATGTGAATTTTAGGGTTGCTCAATTATGCAAAGAATGCCCCTGGTATTTTGAAGAAGACTGCACTGCGTCTGTAGACTGCTCTGGTCAGATGGCCAGTTTGACAATACTAATCCTGCCAATACGTGAGCGTGGAGGGCTTGCCGCTTCTGGTGCCTTCATTCCTTCTGCAGTATCCTGAAATTTTCAGTGTGGAGATTGTTCCCTTCCTTGAGGATCTATTTTACTTAAAGCTATTGTGAATGCAATTGCTTTCTGGAATTTTTTCTCAGTCCATTATTAGTGTATATTAAAGCTACTGATTTTCTTATTTTTATATCTTTCCATTTTGCTGAATTCATTTATCAGCTCTAAAAGTCTTTTGGCAGACTCTCTAGCGACTTCTAAGTACAGGAGCACATCATCCACAAACAAGGATCATCTGACTTCTTCCTTTCTTATTCGTAGCCTTTTGAGTAGATATCCTGGCCTTGCTCTGGAGCAAGCAGACTTCTTTACAACAGGATGCCTCACAGTTCCTGATAACAAACACACATTACGGGTAAGCAGCACAGACATACGCGATGGCTAACCTGTTTGCCTTTGGAAATATTTATTCAAGGAGCATTAATTCCGCTTTGGAAACATAGAGTCAAGAAAAATCTACAAAGGTTAGCACACTCGAGGAGGACATCTATGAGGAGACACTGCTTCAGAGAAATCCTCCCTTGCTAGCTTGAAGAACACAGTAAAAAAATAGCATGGATTCTCAAATACACGCATGGACACAAAGATTAACCACTTAGAAGTGTTTCACCGTAGTTACAGGAACTCTTTTTTTAAGGTACATAGATCTGCTGCTCAAGGGCTCCTAATCTTAAAAATATAACACATCCATACCTGAAAGATAGACATCTGTTTCTCTCGAGCAGCATGTTTCAAATCGGTGAAGGCCTCTCTTCCAAGCCCTCGGTCAGGAATATTGAGAATATGAGCCAAGGCCAGGTCATTCTTAGAATTCACTAGCAGGTTTAAATACGAAAAGATAATTGTCTTTGCTAGTAGCTTCACCTGTAGAATAAAATATTTAGTTATTTCCCTTTCTGGAGTTGTTCTAAACCCACAATAAATTTTTATTTTTTTTAATTTAATTTACTTTATTGGTACATTCTAGGTAGACAGTACAGTTACATTCATTACTGGGATCTTGTACCTTTACACAAAAAATTTTTATTTTTTTTAATTTAATTTACTTTATTGGTACATTCTAGGTAGACAGTACAGTTACATTCATTACTGGGATCTTGTACCTTTACACAAAAAATTTTTATTTTTTTTAATTTAATTTACTTTATTGGTACATTCTAGGTAGACAGTACAGTTACATTCATTACTGGGATCTTGTACCTTTACACAAAAAATTTTTATTTTTTTTAATTTAATTTACTTTATTGGTACATTCTAGGTAGACAGTACAGTTACATTCATTACTGGGATCTTGTACCTTTACACAAAAAATTTTTATTTTTTTTAATTTAATTTACTTTATTGGTACATTCTAGGTAGACAGTACAGTTACATTCATTACTGGGATCTTGTACCTTTACACAAAAAATTTTTATATGCAGTACAAATACATATGATCATTCAATCACGATACTTAGCTCTTTAGGAAAAGAAAATCATCATATAAGCAAACTTGGGTTGGATAATCAGCACATTCTCTCATAAAATCAATTCACTGCCAATAATAAACTATGAGCACATAACAACTATCATAACTGTTAGGAAACCGTTCTTAGCAAACTATATAAAAGATACTGTCCAAATCTGCATTTCTGACACAGTCCTCTTTCACTTCCCTCAAGATAGCTGCCACTAAACAACAGACAATGCTAAGGTCCCAGCAGCTAAGAGCATGAGCCAACTGGCTCTACTTGGTCCCTAAATCTACAACCCCAAGTGTAAGGGCTAAAGTTAAGTGGTTAAACTCTTGAGAACTACTATATACTGGCTTTACCAAGTAATGCCAAATAACCACTGAACGCTTAAGATGAAGAGATTAAACCGAATGCTCAGCAAACAATAGCATGTATTTATGATGGCATTAATCGGCCTCAAGCAGAGCTAAAGACCATTCACACACAACAGGCTTTGGAGAACTTCGGTCTTACATACATACTGCACTTACTCTTCAGACTCAAATGATAAACCAAGGCACTTAATATTATTTTTCTTAAAATCAGCTACTTATAGCAACTTCTAGTATTAAGGGAGAAGCAATTACGGTAAATCTCACAGATACCAACTATAAACTATTAGGGAAAATTTTTTAAACATAACTGTGTAAAGACACTGGAAAACATCCAAAAAGCAGGCACAAGATAGGAAATTTATTGTTAAAAGTGATCCAACAAGGCTAAAAATTGCAAGTTTATGATTATTTGAGGCCCTGCAAATTCTAGTAAATGGGAAGTCAGTAATCTTGTGAATCTTCCAGATAACGACTTTGAAGTAGTAAACAAACATTTCAAAATACAATTTAATGATGCTGGAAAGTGTTCAAAAAGCAGACAAAGCTGGAGGAAATTCTAATTTTAAAATGACCGCAACAAGTAGGGTATGAATTAAATTTGTGGATTACTGCCCAAGAGTATGCTCAAGTTCATGCTATGGTTACAGAAAACAGGGGTGACTTGAGGTGCCAGAGATCAGGATTCAGGGCTGAGAAAGCAGGGAGAAATGCACATGGGGGAATCCTCGTAATAATTCAGAACATAAGCAGCTCAAATGGTTAGCAGCTAACCTATGCAAGCACAGGAGAGACTGTAGGGGGCCCATCAAAATATAGGCACAAATCAAAAAGAAATCTTTTCTACAAAGAGTCAGAGCTGTGAGTCCGAAGGTTTGCTTGACCTAATGTATTCCAGAACTGCAGAGCTGAAGTAGCAAAAACCTGAAGCTGAGCAGGCCTGAAGTGTTAGAGTCAGAGCCTGAACCTGTTAGAACTGGAAAATTCTTAGGAAGAAAAGGAAGCCACTGAGAGAATAAGCTCCACCCTTGGCTGACCACCAAATTTGGTAAGCAGAAGGGTCACCTACAAAAGCCAAGCTAAAAAAGCAACAGAGGGAGCCACAGTAATTGATATCACCAGCTACCCATCAAACAGGGAGATAAGATTTTGACATCCAGGCAAGCAAACTGTCTGCTAGAACAAAAGAAGGTATTTCTCAGAAGAACATAACAGAATTCAGAGTTACTAGAAAATATTATCATTATTGTAATGGCTCATTCAAAAATTACCAGACACTCAAAAAGGAACATATCACACAACCAGGATAAAAAACACTCAATAGAAACTTCCATCAAGAGGACCTAGACATAGAGTCTATCAGACATCATATCAAGACAACTACTATAAATTATGTCAGGGCATTATAAGAAAATGTTCAATGAATCAGGGAATATATGCTATCAATAAAGTAACAGAAGGTATGTCAACAGAAAAGTGGATGCAATATAGAAAGTAAATGTTTGAGCTAAAAAATATAATAAGTAAAATTTTGTTGGATGGGCTGGATAGCAATTTGGAGAGAGTAAAAGAAATCACTGAACAAATGAACAAGATAGATCAACAGAAATTATCAAATCTGAAACATTAGTAACAAAAACTATTTTAAAAAACCAAAGAGATCCAGGAGACAATTTAAACAAGTCCAACATACACATCATTAGAATCCCTGAAGCAGTGTGAGAGGACCAGAAAAGAGCAAGATGCAATTATGTCTCAGAGCATCCCAAACTGGAAAACATTAACCTGTAGCTCCAAGAAGCTACTCCTGCAGGAAAAATACAAAAAAAAAAAATCACTCTTACACACAACCAAAGATGAGAGAAAATTCTGAGACCAGACAGAGCAAAATAATACATCATCTACAGGAACAAAGAGAAAGTTAACAGATTATCAAGAAATACGTAAGCCAGAAGACACTGGAACAATAAGACACTAGAAAAATGATCTCAAGAATTACTGTACAATTAAAATAATCAAGATAAAGAGGTACTTATGAAAATACACAGTAGGTGCAATAGAACAGAGTCCAGAAATAGGCTGACATGGATGAAGTATTGAGATTTTTCACACAAAAGTATAAAAGAAATGAAGAAAATACAGTATTTTAATAATTCATGTTGGTTGTCCATATGCAAAATGAGCCTCAACCAAACCTCATGCACCATTAATGAAATGAAATCAAAGTGAATCACAGTTGTATCATATGAGAATATAAAACACTTAGAAGAAAATATAGGAGATAAATATTCAAAACCTGAAATTAGTCAAAAAGTTCCTACACATAACACAAAAAGCAAAATCCAGGAAAGAAACCAATTAACTTGATTTCATCAAAATCAAATTCCTTGTATGAAATTCTCTTCCTGTTCTTAAAGAGTAAGACAGTCCAATTTTTGGAGGTCATTATATGTTAAGTAAAAAAACCTATACAAATTACAAGATTTTTCAGCTTTGAAAACTGATTTTCTTCAAACTGAGGTTAAATATTTGTATCTCATTAAAAATTAGGGATAGGAAAAGAAACTTGCCACTGTCAGAAAGCTTAAGAAAAACTGTCCAGTTTCTAAACAAACATTGGGAATACTTTGTGGCACGGATAGCATCAGTTTATTACACAAACAAACAGGACAGTACCCTTCTTTTTGGTATCCTGGTTATGTTTCAGTCTTGTGGATTTTTTCCAACGTAGGCCCTCACTTCTAGAAATGACTATACTTACATGGACTCTGTTCCCAGGCAGCCTCTTTAAAACCCATGTGCACACACGAGAGTGGGAAAACCATAAGTGCCACCTTAGCTGACCATAATGATGGGAGAGATGTCCAATGGCAGCCATGAGTTAAAAGAAACACCCCACCGGTGAGTACTCCACGATGTTTCCCTTGATGTTCACCGAGCACCACATATCAGAAAGGCAGCATCTGTTAGCCTACAAGAGCAAGGTGGAGATGTGGACACCCGAGCCCTGCTCTTGAATTCAGTTAGGGTCAGGTATATACATCCTAGGACAACAGGATACAGTAAGTCCTTAATTTTCAATTACAGAAATATAGTGAAAGGAGAATGCATTAAATTAACTATAGGAAATGTAAGAAGGTTCCTCATTACAATGTAAACATCACTTTTTCTCTGCTTTGATTTTGGCCAAACTATGTTACTCTTCCCAAATGTTAAAGAATAAATAAGAGATAACTGTTTTAGGCAGACAGATACTGTACTATGAAGTTAAAAGGAACCCAGAGGTCTGGGCAAGAAACATTCAAGATGGACTTGGGATATTTTCTTGCATTGGAAAGGAAAAAAGAAAATGCTCAAGCAGTGTAATAGGGGAGGAAAGGAGAATGGAGGGAAAAAAGAAGACTCAAGATACATCATGTACCGGTACAAATTCCCTACAATGAACATGATCATTGTGCATAGCAAAAATGTGCCAACAAAATTAATTTTTAAGAAAAGCCTAAGAGGACGCATAAAAAAGACACAGCAGTTTCCTTACAGTGCTCCCTCTACTTTAGCATCCAAGGTGAAAGAGTACAGGGCCGGGGATTTAGCTCAGTGTCACCTCACCTGCCTGGCAAATGAAAGGTCCTAAGTTTGACCCCTGGTACAGGGGGGGAAAAAAAAAGTGAAAGAATGCAACCGATTTCAAAACACTGAATAAGTAAAATTTTTGAGTCCTTAGCAATTTACACACACACAAAGGAGAGAGGCAAAAATGTAATTTGCCTCTTGCATATATCTACTACACCATCTCCTAAATTAGTAAGGAGAATTAGGCAGTGACCTTGACATTTTTAGAGAACTCCCCTCTGACAGAACAAAGCTTTCCTTTACTGAGAAACAGCAAGTAACGAATGAAAAGGTGACACAGTGAGAAACCCGCTACTCTACAAATGCTCAAGAAGCAAGGGCTACAGGCCAGGATCGCCAACGCAGGCACAGAACCCTGAAGAGGAAGGGCAGAGGGTTGTTACAGACCCTCTTTCACTTTCACTTTGGTGAAAGTGTCACCACCGCTCTCTGCCCAGAATGGAGGGCAAACCCCAACTCTGTACTGAAACCCCAGACCACCTGGGCTCATGCCTCCTCCTGCAAAACCGAGTGAAATGCTCAGCACCAGTTATAAAATACTTCTGAAAAACTGCTAAGCCTAAGTCTAAACTTCTGTTGGTTTACTAGAAATACAGAAACTAGTGAAACAAGTCAAATAATGACATATTACCAGTATGCGGGGAAGAGGAAGAATAGGGAAGGAGGGGGAGAGGGAGAAGGAGGGAGGAGAGTGGGG